TCTGAGGAACAACTTGATATCTGGTAGAGTACCCTCTGTTATCTTTCATAATCTTACTGAACTTGTTGTTCTTGATTTGTCTGAAAATGCTTATCTGATGAGTGATATTCCTAATGAGATTGGTAAGCTTGAGAAGCTTGAGGAGCTATGGCTTCAAAGCTCTGGTTTCTATGGCGAAATCCCTTATTCTTTGTTGGGTTTGAAGAGTTTGAATGTTTTGGATCTTTCTCAGAACAATCTCACTGGAAAACTCCCTGAAATGATGGGTTCTTCTTTGAAGAATTTGGTGTTCTTTGATGTTTCTGAGAATAAACTCATGGGGGCTTTCCCAAATGGGTTTTGTAGTGGAGAATCCCTTGTGAGTTTTAGTGTTCATACCAATTTTTTCACTGGGAATTTGCCTAATTCCTTGAATAAATGCTTGAATCTGGAGAGGTTTCAAGTTCAGAACAATGGGTTTTCAGGGGATTTCCCTGAATCCTTATGGTCATTGCCTAAGATTAAGCTAATTAGAGCTGAAAACAATGGTTTCTCTGGTGAAGTTCCGGAGTTTATATCAATGGCTACTCATCTTGAGCAAGTTCAGCTTGATAACAACAGTTTTTCGAGTAAGATACCCCAAGGTCTCGGATCGATTCGAAGCTTATATCGATTCTCTGCCTCGCTTAATCGTTTTCATGGTGATCTGCCACCGAACTTCTGTGATTCTCCATTGATGAGTATTATTAATCTGTCTCATAATTCACTTTCGGGTCGAATTCCCGAGCCGAAGAACTGCAAGAAACTTGTCTCATTGTCCTTAGCAGGGAATAGTTTTAGTGGAGAGATACCTAGTTCCCTTGCAGATCTACCTGTGTTGACTTATCTTGATCTTTCTGATAACAATCTCACTGGCTCGATCCCTCAACGACTCGAGAACTTAAAGTTTGCGCTGTTTAATGTTTCGTTTAATCAACTATCGGGCGCTGTTCCGTTTTCTTTGATTTCTGGATTGCCAGCTTCTTTTCTGCAAGGAAATCCTGATCTTTGTGGCCCTGGTTTGCAAACTCCTTGTTCACAAGGCCATCCAGTAAGTGATATGTCTGGACTTAACAAAATGACATGTGCCCTTGTCTCTATAGCTTGTGTTCTCGGAGTTATGAGCTTAGCTGCTGGGTTCGTTCTGTATTACCGGTCGTTCAAATCGAAATCCCGTGTCGATAACTGGCATTCGGTCTACTTCTACCCTCTTAGAATCAGTGAGCACGCGTTGATCATGGGGATGAATGAGAAAACTGCACAAGGATGTGAGGGAGCTTTTGGACAAGTGTTTGTTTTAAGCTTACCGAGCCGTGAACTGATTGCCGTGAAGAAACTTGTTAAGTTCGGGAGTCGTTCGTGGAAGTCGTTGAAAGCCGAGGTCAAGACGTTGGCTAAGATCAGGCATAAGAACATCATCAAAATTCTGGGGTTTTGTCATTCTGATGATGCCATTTTTTTGATCTATGAATTCTTACATAAAGGAAGCTTGGCTGACTTGTTATGCAGAAATGATTCTTGTTTGAATTGGAATGTGAGACTTAGAATTGCTATTGAAGTTGCTCAAGGACTTGCTTACATTCACAAGGACTACGTCCCACGTTTGCTTCATCGAAACGTCAAATCGTCGAACATTCTACTGGACGTTGACTTGATCCCGAAGCTCACGGATTTTGCTCTCGACCATATCGTTGGAGAGTCGGCGTTTCACTCAACAGTTGCTTCGGAATCCGCTCATTCTTGCTATATTGCACCAGGTACACAAAAGTTTACGATAGTGTGTTAGGAATGAGGGATCTCCACATTAGTATGATATTGTCCAATCCACAATCCTCCCGTCGAACAAAGTACACTATGGAGCCTCTCCTGAGGCCTATGGAGCCCTCGAACAGCCTCTCCTTAATTGAGGCTCGACTCCTTCTCTGGAGAGTTCTCGAACAAAGTACACTCTTGTTCGACACTTGAGTCACTTTTTGACTACACCTTCGAGGCTCACAACTTCTTTGTTCGACATTTGAGAATTCTATTGGCATGGCTAAGTTAGGACATGACTCTGATACCATGTTAAGAATCACGGATCTCCACAATGGTATGATATTATCCACTTTGAGCATAAGCTCTCGTGGCTTTATTTTTGGATTCCCCAAAAAGCCTTGTACCAACGTGGGACTCCCTCCCAACAATCCTCCCCTCGAACAAAGTACACTGGAGAGCCTCCCCTGAGGCCTATGAAGCCCTCGAACAGCCGGCTCGACTCCTTTGGAGTCCTCAAACAAAGTACATCCCTTTGTTCGACACTTGAGTCACCTTTTGACTACACCTTTGAGGCTCACAACTTCTTTGTTCGACATTTGAGAATTCTATTGACATGGCTAAGTTAAGGGCATGACTCTAATATCATGTTAGGAATCACGGATCTCCACAATGGTATGATATTGTCCACTTTGAGCATAAACGAATGATCATTCCCTAAATTAGCTAATGTGGGACTCCCTCCCAACAATCCTCAACATAGTGAACTCGGGTGTTTGAAAAACTCGATAACCCGAAAAATCTATCAGTCCAGTACAATTTATTATGATCGAGTCGGGTTATATAGGTTTCTTTCGTTTAATAAGTTCCCGAGTTTATCAATTAGAACCATAAGATATCGTTCGAAACGTGTTGGTAGTAAAGCGATCTAAAGAGTCTTATTACATCTATCATTTGGAATGCAGAATGTAAATACAACAAAAAGGCAACAGAGCAAATGGATGTGTACAGCTTTGGAGTAGTGTTGCTAGAACTGGTGACTGGAAGACTAGCCGAGCGTTCGGAATCAACGGACGCTCTCGACGTGATCCAGTGGGTGAGGAGGAAGGTGAACATAGCGAATGGTGCTTCCCAAGTCCTTGACCCGAGCATCTCGGAGAATTCTCAACGAGGGTTGATGCTGGAAGCTCTAGACGTTGCCCTCCAATGCACTTCTATGATGCCTGAAAAACGACCGTCGATGCTGGAAGTCGCCAAGGCGCTTCAACTGATCGGCTCGACAACGAACCTTGATGATGCTGCTGCCTTCTCGGCTGCAGAGGATGATAGTTCGGTGTCGAGCTGAAGACATGTCTTAGCTCCATGGCTTGTTTTCTGTATATCCAAATTCACATATATCATTATTGTAGGAGACTTCTTATTCTTTTTTATCATTTTGATTTTAAAATGAAGATGCTTAAATTTTGGTGTTATGTAGCTTTGGGTTTTAAGAGAATCGTTTTTGTCGGGGCGTATACGGGTTGAGTCGGTAAAATCGATTGGACTAACATGAAATTTTGGGTTTATTTAGTTGGTGACCCGAACAATTGGAATAGAGTTAGTTCACAGCCCAATTCAACCAATTTGGTTGGGATTGGGTTGTCGGGTCGTTTTTATTATTTAAAAAAAGCATACTTATCCACAATATATGTTATGATATATATCAAACATTCACAAGTCACAATATATCACTAACATTAGTTGCAAACGTCAAATATTCTTAATGTTCATAATAATCTTAAAAGTAGGGTAGGGTAAAATTGAGCTGTAACTTTATTTTCGGGTTGGTGGGGTCAAATGTTAACCTACAAATTGACCAAAATTTTTTATTTTTTATAAATTCAAGCCAAACTAAATAGGAAAATAATAATAATAATAATCTAATCCTACCTAATCACGAGTAGGGTTGTGAGATCCCACATTAGTTGGAGAGGGAAACAAAATATAGGATGTGGAAACCTCTCCCCATTAGACACGTTTTAAAACCGTGAGACTGACAGTGATAGGTTAAAGCGGACAATATTTGCTTATGGTAGTGATATGGAATCAACCCAAGAGAAAGTATGGAACGGATTACCTTGATGATCAAGATCAAGAGTAAAGATAACTCGTTTCTAAACTCGTGATTTGAATCGCTCCACAAGAAGTGTGATTAAATACCACTTGAATGACTCTAACATACAAGTTTTAAACACAAGAATTTGCAAAGAAAATCTTAGCTCTCAATAAAGCTTAAAAAAAAAATATAAATTCTTCTTTTTAATTCCAAGATGTGATGTCCCTAATCAAAGAAAAGAAGGCTTGTATAGCCTTTACAACCTTAACCTATGTGATAGGTAACTCTCAAATTAAATTAGCTAGTAGAGGAGAAATACTTTTAACCTCCGTATTAAAATGGTTAGTTAACGATAGAATATGGTAACCTGTGGGTTACATTACAACCTCAACTCCTATATTAAAAATTACTCAAATATGACAAATAAATATTTAAATTATAATGACTAAGGAATGAAATGTGCTTATTAGTCATCTTGGACTAATTCCATAAATTCAGCTGAGTTCATTAAATGCAACTTAAAGTGCATTTAATGATCTCTTTCTTCGAGTTCAACTTTGCACACATATAAGAGAGGTCTCCAACATCTTTTAGAATCTCCTTTGATGAGCAGACTAAACCTTGAATACAAGTGTACAATGTTTGTTGTAACTTCTTGGCTCTCGTCTTTGTAATTGGATCTTGAGGTATGGAAATTCCTTGGTCGTGGTTCATATCAGGTGGGCTTGAGCTATTACAAATAGTATCAAAGCCAAACACGGAGCGGTGTGGCAGTGAGGACGCTTGGCTCCGAAGAAAGATGGATTGTGAGATCTTACATTGGTTAGAGAGGGGAACGAAACATGTGGAAATCTCTTCCTAATAAACACGTTTTAAAACTATGAGTCTTATAGCAATCCATAATGCAGACAATATCTGTCCCCAGTGGGGTTAGTCGGGTTAGTCGAATTTTGGTCGTATGAATATAAACTAGATAGAGAAATGTTAATTTAATTTTATATAAGATAATAAATAAAAATAATGCTTCTTTAAAATAATATTACAAAACAATAATACTTAAAATAAATAAAAATAAAAAATAATAATAAATCGGAGTTGAAACGGTTTCTGAGAAGCTTTAAAAAAACGCCACGTTCTATTGACCCATTCTGATCCGCCATGAAAATCTGAATTGCAAGCTTTTTTCACTTTCTCCATTTCCCCCCTCCTATTCTCTCTCCATTTGACAGATTCACAATCCCAATCAATCTACGACGCGGCTTCCACAAGAAGACGAAGAAGAAGAAGAGCAAGGAGGAGGAGAAGAAGTTTTTTGTTATTTCCTCTGCCTCAAGGAAAAATGGAGGTGGTATACTGCTGGAAACGCATCTTTAATTTTCAATTTCTTACTCGAATTTCACGGCTTAAGGATGAAGGATTATGTTTGTGTTGCAGGAATCTCCGAATGTGGATCTTCCGACGACGGAGAAAGAAATCGTACCGGAGAAGATTGAGGATGAAGAGATCAAAGATCCTTTGTGTCATTGCGATCTTTGCGATGCGGAACTTGTGCATAAACTCGCTCAGCTTCTTCTTCCTGGATTATCCACCGCATGCGTCGATAATACGACTGGAGGTATCTTTCGAACCCCTGGCTCCGTGGCTGCCGATATGAGGAAAGAAATGGTAGATTATTTAACCTTGAGGAGCGAAACTTTTGTTGCGGAATCTGTAATCTTAGAGAATGCTCCGGATGCGGAGTTATCCGATCATCCTTACGATATCATCTCTGATTTTGTTGAAGATTTTTCTCTGTCGAAGAGAAATTTTTTTAGTAGAGTTTCAGCCTGGGTTCTGAGTGAGAAAAGAGAGGACAAGATAGACGATTTTGTTCAGGAAATGGACGTCAATGGCTTTTGGCCGCTTGACAGGAGACAAGCAATTGCTCAGGCTTTGCTTAAGAACGTAGATTTCAAGAGTGAGTATCATTGTGACAAGAAATTCCACTCTGCAGAAGAATTAGCTGAACATGTTGAAATCTGTGGGTTTAGAACATTAACTTGCACAAATGAAGGCTGCACTGCACTATTTTGTGCAAACCACACAGAACAGCATGATTCCATTTGCCCTTTCAAGATAATTCAATGTGAACAGAAGTGTTCTGCCTTTATTATGAGACGTGAAATGGATCGCCATTGCATAACTGTTTGTCCAATGAAGCTTGTGAATTGCCCCTTCCATAATATGGGTTGCCAATTCCCTGTTCCTTACTCTTTGATTGCGCAGCATTGTACAGAGAGTTTTGATTCTCATTTGCTGCACATTCTTCACTCTATTCACAAGGAAGCCAATGAAGAGACTCTTAAACATCGACGACAACAGCTTGAAGAGGTGAGGTATTGCAAAGTTATTTGAATTCATATATAATTTCTAATGGGAATTTACTTTGTTCATTCAATGATTTAGTTGACAGACATTAAAATCCTTTAGCTGTCTGACCGAACTGAGAAAAACATGCATATATGAAAGTATGATCTGATATAAAATGTGTTCGTTGTCTGTTATGTAAAAGTTTTCTGCCATATTGAATGTATTAGTTTGTATTCTTTAGCTACTCATATCAAATGTGTAAGCTCCACACTATGAACCCAAATTGGGTTCGTTAACCGCACACAATCACATGATTTTGATATCACCTTTGGCTCATCACACTATGAACCCGAATTGGGTTTGTTAACCGCCTTTTAACTGATCTTTCTGTGGGAACAAGCTCAACAGATTGTTCTTTCAAATGTCACTGTTGAAACTTCTTTTGGGAAATATTATGGTAATATGGTCATTGTGATTGGTGTAACCTTGAGCCCAATACTATTTGTTATATCAATGTGATTCATTATTCTGGTGTGTTTTTCTACATATTTTTGTTACATACTGTTATGAATTTGCTTGAGATGTAAGATGAATCGTATATGCTTATCACGTCCTGAAATTATGAAATCAAAAGGCGTGGTTGAAAAGGAGGAATGAATAAAGGGAAAAGATATAGCTGATTAGCTTCCTCCCCTTGTCTTTATTTTGTGGAAAAGCTACTAGCTAAGAAGTGGGATTCAACCTTCGTAGATACTTCTAGTCGATCGAACGTTGCCAATCGAGTTATTGCCAGTGGGCTAAGCTGTTAGGTTGGGAATAGATTAAGTGATTAATCCTATCCTAACTTAACAATTTAAAGTCCTAGGTGCACCGGTGATACCGATACAGTATAATCTGAGGCTAATTTTTCATCAATTAGATGTGTTTTTGTGTCAATTCTAATTACAATTCTAATTGTTCTTCCAGGCAGCATCACTTGACCACCTTAGAGGGCTTCAAAACTTGAGATTGCTAACCAAGAAAATCAAAGAAATGGAATCTGAGCTAGGACCATTGGTAATCATCGCCGAGGTTGAGGAAACAGAAGAAGCGAAGGACGCGTCTAACAAAACTGAAGAAGGGAAGGAGACGTCTAATGCAACTGAAGAAGCAAAGGATGCCTCTAATGCAACCGAAGAGAAGAAAGACGTGTCGAATGGAACCGAAGAAACAAAGGACGCATCTATTGCAGCTGAAGAAACGAAGGATGCGCCTACTGCAATTCAAGAAAGGGAAGTCGTGTCTACAGCAATCGAAGAAACAAAGGGCACTTCAGGTGAAGGAGAAGAAGCCAATGATGCTGAAAAAGAAGAAACAAAGGATGCCATTATTGCTACTGAAGAAGGGAATGCTGTGCCTACTGCAATTCATGAAAGGGATGTCGTGTCGAGCGCAATTGAAGAAACGAAGGACGTTTCGCCTAAGGAAACAGAAGAACCGAATGACGCTTCTAATGAAAAAGAAGAAGCCAATGACGCTTCAAACGAAAAAGAGGAAACCGAAGATGCATCGACTGTAATTGAAGAAACAAAGGATGGTTCTGATTCGATCGAAACGAAGAATGCTTCTGATGCAGCAGAGGAAGAGACAAAGGATGCTACGAACGCAGAGGAGGAAGAGACAACGGACGCTTCGAACGCAAAGGAGGAGGGAGAAGAAGCGAAGAAGGAAACTGAAGAAAGCAAGGAGGGCGACAATGGAAGTGAAGAAAGGAAAGGTCCATCTAAAGGAATGGAAGAAAGAAAGGATGATCCAGATGAAGCTGAGAGATAAAAGAAAACAATTTTCTTCGCGACGGAATGCTTCGTTTCCCTTTCCGTTCCCCCTTCCCGTCATCTTTTCTCTATTAACTTCACATTCTTCATATTCTTTCTTATATACTATGATTCATTGATTGATTATGCATAAACTACGTGTATGTCTTATAGATCTCTCCGATCTCTCCGGACTGCTAGTACCAACAATTCTTGTATCAACAAAAATATTTGCAATTAAGGACAATTATTATTAGTATTACTACAAGGAGTAGTAAAAAAAATTGCAAATAAGCCCTCAGAAAAATGGGTAATTAAATGAAAAGGAAGTCAGGTTGAGTCCTCCTCCAATGGCAGTGGGCGTTTACAGAGAGGGCAAGAGTTATGGAGGTTGAGCCACTGGAAGATGCATGATTCATGATACACATGCCCGCAGGGAGTCCTTATCACCTCCCTCTTCTTATTCATCATCTCATCCAAACAGATACAGCAATCTCCCAATTCCTTCTCTTCCTCCACTTCAACACGCGCCACCACTCCTCTCCTCTGCCTCCTCCTCGCCGGCAACTCATCCAGAACAACAGTCTCCTCCACCAGTCCGCCGCCGTTGCCCTGTCCCTGGCGCATTCCGGCTACCTGACCCATCCAGATGTTTTGGATGAAATCCACCTCAACGACGATGTGGAAACTCGTCTCTCTGTTTCCGGCGGATAACTGGGCGATCTGAGATGCGATCTTCCAGCCAATGACTTCGCAGGCGGCGGCGTGGATGTCGAGTGTGGAGAGTAACCGGGGGATGTGAAACAGAGGATCATGGAGTTGGCGCAGAGAGAGATGAAACAGAGCATCGTTCACCGGAGTGGGTCTGGTTTCAAACAGAATTTGCGGCGGAACTCCGGGGAAGGAAGAAGCAGAGATCAGACGGTTGAAAGAGCGCATTCGGACTTCCAAAGCTTTATGGGTTTCGGATTGGGCGGCGGCGGTGTAAAGACGATACTGAATCGGCGTTGAAGCAGCGAAAGACATGATTGATTGAAGTGGTCGATTTTTTATTCGGCGGCGGCGGAGTGAAGGTCGTATTTATAAGAGAAGAGGAATTTAGTTTCAAATTTGGAAAATCTTCAGAATGAGACCGTTAGATCATAGTGACCGATAAGGAAAATGTTAAGATTTTCCTAATTTGATCCGCTTCCACTCCCTCTTCAAATTAAATTCGTGTTTATGGGAAGTATCTGAATTTCGTTTTGGAACTAATAACGGCTATACTCTGTTTTTTTTTTTATTTTTTATTTTTTATTACTGGTTTAAGTGTTCTTTTCATTTTTTATGTTTTGGTCACGAAATCATTTTCTACTCATGACAAGCGCACGGTGGATGAGAGGTACATAAATAAACCAGGACATATTCGAATGGGTCTTGAGGATAGAAGGTCTAAAAAAATTTAAAAGAATTGAAAATTACTCCTATACTAATAAGGTGCACCTTCCTTTTCGATAACTTGAACTCCATGGTTAAGCATGCTTGAGAGCAATTCAACGTTAGGCAACCTCTTTAGGAATTTGCTACATGAGTGAGAAAAAAATATGGTGTGAAGAACTCATGTTGGTCTGTGTGATAGTCTTTACTCTTGAGAGCAAGGAGTAAGTAGTAACTATGTCGTAGGGGAATGTCGAGACCATCAAGTGCCGAATCCAGATTCTAAATCTTAGGCTTGAGATGTTACAAATGGTATCAAACGGGCACCTCTCCCAATAAGATGTGATTTAGGGATAGATCAAGATAGAAGCTGGTGGGCATGTGATACCCCAGTAAATGAAGGGTATATGAATAAAGTGAGACCATATTGGAATGAAAGCGATACTAATGACAAGGTGTACCTTCTTTTTTAGTAGCTCAATTATAAGAACTTTATAGTTAAGCGTATTATCTATTTAGGTTAAACATGGAAAATGCACTAAAAGACGTACATCGAGCTTTGACCATTGACTTTTCTTTTTCTTTTATATTTATATATATATTTTTTCATACTATTTTAGTTGATATTTGAGCCCAATTATTTGGATTTGGATTTTGATCAACTTTGGGCCTACTCCTTTAGACTTTGAGCCCAACGAAAAATCATTCAAACTTTACGAACGTAGATAATAGTATTTTGATAAAAGAGCTGACGAAGGGGACGAGCCAAATAGGGAATCTACTGCATGAGGTTCAACTAACAGAGACTCTCGAATAGCTAGAGTAAATCAGTTCCCAAGTGAGCTTATTATGGGAGACCGTCAAGCACATCCAACAAAATCAAGAGAGATCTCGTTGTTGCAATGACACAATTTGGAAGTTGCCTTTCCTTTTTTTCTTTTAAATCTTCGAATTTAATTCGAAGTACATGTTAATTTATAATTTATAAGTGGGCTCAAATGTAATTTTATCATTAATTTTAAAATTCCTTATTCAACAAATTTGGTTTTTTGTTTCAAGTTGCATCAAAATGACATATTTACCCTTATAACAAATATATATATATAGAAAAACTTCGGGATATATATATATATATTATATTGATTTATAGTAAAATGCTTATTTGTTGACGCAATATCTATCACTAAAAAATGTGAATATATATGAAAATATTATTAATCAACGAAAGAATACAGATTTAAAAATGAGAAATAGAATTAGGATCGAAGGTTTAATCTTCATTGATATTCACAACATTTTAAATATATATAAGATACCAACTAATACTAAATATAAACTAATTAAATCTTGATAATAAAATAAAATATATTAATATTCAAATTTAACTGATTACGAATATCTAAGATATATTTTCTAAGTAATATATTGTTCGAGAATATTAATATTAAAATTTTTGTTATGATTTTTTTATATATATAATTTAAATTTGACAAATGGTCATATCAATGTTAAAATTAATTTATTTTATTATTATTATTATTATTTATTTTAGAAAAAAAAAAAGGAAAATAATGGTGGGGAAAGCGAAATGATTGAAGAGATAAGGAATAAAAAGTGGATTTAAGCCACCAAGCAAATATAGCGTTGGAAAGCAGAAGCTGCAAAATTCAAAACGACATGTCGTTTTCAATCATATATTTTTCAAATTTACAATCAATGACCGGTCACCCATGCAAGCGGTAGGGTCACCATCGTCATTGTCGGTGCCCCACCTGAAGCTTGTTCTCTAAAACCACCCGTTTGTGACCGTGACTCAACCCCATTTCTCTCCTCGAATTTCCCATTTTACCCCTACCACTCCACATGAATCATGCATCCTTAGACACCAAGCACTAGCTCCGAGTGTAGCTTCGTAAAAAGCAAGAAACGATAAGACCGAAGAGAATAAAACGTTCCTGGTGGTGGTTATAGCAGTTCCTTATGATCCAAGAAAACGTCTGAAAAACAATTTCGAGTGTAATCAGACAATGACAGAGCGGCCTGTAGTAGATTGATCGACGTTTGATCGAAGGAATGAGTCACAAGATGAATTGTCGTCCCAACGTTACAGGAACGAGCACTTTCTCGGGCTAACCCGCTTCCCATTACTCAACAAAAGCTACTATATTAGAGTTTTGTTTGAATAACTGTATTAGTTGTATAACATGTTATGACATACTATGTTGAGAATCTCGAGGGTTTCTACCTAAATATCTCTTACCCACGTATGTATCTTAGTTGGTTCAGGTACGGGTCGCTCCTCTTATGTTTATGATGCACTTTGATGGAGCTCTAAAGGGTCGTTAAGTACCTGTAGCTTCGTTGGGTTCACAAGAAACTAGCTAGTTGTATATGATTCAAGACACGTATGAATGGACATTCACCGACTTTATCATTAAAAATAATTTTTGTCGCTATTTTTAATTATTTGTTTAATAAATAAATAAAGCATGTATTAAAACTACATAAGCTAATATAATAAATAGAATAATTTAATCCTTTTTAAATATAATAAATAAATAAATAAATAATTTATAATCCCCGACAAAGTTTAGAGCATACCGACAAGTTTGAAATTTTGGAATTAAAAAATAAAATAAAATGATCTGATAATGATTCTCCACGACTCCACCTAACCATCACACTATTTATTATTATTTTTTTTTTTTAAATTTACAATTATAGTTTAAATAAATTGAATTTTTAATTGGGAATTGTTTTAGACGTATGCGATAAACTCGAGCTATCTAACCCAAATTACAAATGTCGGGTTTGATAAAAAAAAATTCGATTTTAATTGGGTTGAATTTTTGTAAAACTAAAATGTAACGACCCGATTTTCTGCACACGTACCAATTGAAGACGTTTTAGAAAAACATGTAGTAAAATTAAAAACATGCCATTTAACCAAATAGCTTATCTAGATTAGGGTTACGCACGAAAATTTAGGTCGGTTATTAGGTTGACATTTTTTTTACGGAACGAAAATAGGGTTACAACCCACCTGTACTTTTTAAAATTATTATGAAAATTAAGGATATTTGATGTTTGTAACTGATGTTAGTAATGCGTTTTGACTTGACTGAATTGGGCTCGGAACTCTAATCAAGTTTCTAATTAAAAAAAAAATTATATAATAATTACACATCAAAAAAAAATATTTTTTTGTAACGGGCCCCAGCTAGTAAATATTGTCTTTTTTGTGATTTTCCTTTCGGGATTCCTTTAAGACTTTAAAATGGGTCTGCTAGAAAAAGATTTTCACACTCTTATAAACGTGTTTCATTCTCGTCCCCGTTCAATATGAAATTCTCACAGTTTTATAACCCGATTTGAAATAAATTAAAGAAAAAGAGGGAAAAATAATTAGGAAAAGAGAAAAAACGAAAAGTGGAAGGACGTGAGGGGACGTTTGGGGATCATAGCCTACGTTTTAGCCACACAAGATTATGGCGCCACCATAACTCCTTGTCTGTCAACTTCATTAAGTCCCATCGTTTTCACATTCATTCTATCAATTCAAATTATAAACGTTGGGCTGTGTTAGGTTTTTTTTATATTTGAATTAAGTTAAATTTTGAAAAAATCAAATACTCGAGTTGGTTTGCAAGCTAACATTTTATTAGTTGGACCCGCTCGAAAATAGGATTACAATCTGACCTACCCTACTTTATTTTTAAGATTATTATGAAAATTAAAAATATTTGACATTTGTAGCCGATATTAGTGATGTATTATAATTCCTGAATGTCATATTAAATTTTATGAGATAATGTCATATTAATATAATATTGTATTTTTTTCTCCGTAATTTTCTCCATATTTTAAATATTATATAAATTTAATCATATTAAATTAATATATAAATAATTTAAAATTAGACCATATTTCAAGATTTCTATTACAAAAATTTGCTGAAAAAGACCAATTATATATATATATTTATTTGTTATCTAAGATTTTTCTATTAATTCGAAATTTTTGGTAGGTTACTCTATTTAGGATTTGAGTTCGAATTATTTTTTAATTATTAAAAAAATAATTACATTAATAATTAAAATTATTAAAAATTCAAATATCAAATATTCACGTGAAAAAAAATTAAAATTTAAATATTCAATTTAAAAATTTTTATTTTTCAAAAATTTAAATTAATTCGAGCTATAAAAAAAAAACTAATCCATAAGATTCTCGGTATATTATTAAATAAATCAAACGACCCTTAATTTTATTTTTTTAATAGAAAATTGATAATTGAAAGGTGAAAATGGCAATTTCGTAAATAAGACAAGAAGCTATGGCAATTGTTTGGTGTCTAATCCGTACTACGCGTAGAGCGACCGGCAGATCCCGGTGACTTCCACTCACCGACAAAAAAAAAAAAAGAAAAGAAAAGAAAGAACTTACTCAATAGAGCAACAACAATGGCAGCCGTTTTTAAAATCTTCCATTGCTTCTCTCATCATCATCATCATCATCATCACTCACTTCCACATGCTTCAAAGAAACGCCTGAACCTTCGGATTCCGGGCATGCTGCGCCA